GTTTCTTCATGTTCGTCAGGCTGGTCTCGAACTCCCGACTTCAGGTGATCCACCCACCTTGGCCTCCCAAAGTGCTGGGATTACAGGCATGAGGCACCACGCCCAGCCCCCCAGATGTGTCTTCTTACCTTCTCAGAGCAGCTGAACTCAAGGTGTTGAATCTTGGCAGCCAACTGTACATTCATCTGTTTTAACCGTAAGAGTTGCCGTTCTGAACGTGTCTTAACTGAGATGATAATCCCTGAAATAAAATTGGGGGTCTCAGTGATACTGGTTTCTAACTTGACCACTCAGGAAAAAAAATCTATATTCCTACGCTTGTATAGAGTTGAGAAGAGCGGTGACAGACACGCGAAACAGTCATCACTTCAGGGCATCAGAACTGGGAGGACAGGGTTTTACGTCTGAACTACTTTTAGTACCCAGTAACACAGTTATCTCTCTAGCTGGCATGGTCGAGAAATCCTTAAAAATAATCACTGACAAGATGAGCATTAGGCTCCTTAACCTAGAACCTGTTCACAATCACATGGGTGCATAGCAAGCAGCAGTGTGCCCAGGTGCCACGAAAGCACAGGCTGGGAAATGCCCTTTTCCCACAACAAGCATCTTCCGTAGGAACTCAAAGGCTTTTTTTCTTTCCTTTAACAGGGTCCAAAATTTTTTTTTTTGAGATGGGGTCTCACTCTGTCACCCAGACTGGAGTGTGGTGGCACATTCTTGGCTTACTGCAGCCTCCAAATCCTGGGCTCAAGCAATCCTTCCACCTCAGCCTCCCCAGTGGCTGGGACTACATGTGTGCACCACCACACCCAACTGTTTGTATTTTGTTTTGTAGAGACAGGGTTTCACCATATTGCCCAGGCTGGTCTCGATTTCCTGGGTTCAAGCGATCCTCCTGCCTCTGCCTCCCAAAGTGCTGGGATTATAGGCATGAACCACTGCGCCCAACCTGTTTCGTTTTATTTGCTTTAATTGCTTGATGTAAACCTGCTCATACCAGCTCCTAAAGGGCTGAAGAGGAAGAAAGTAGGAGAGGGAGGAGAGGAGGGGCAGAGAGGAGGCCTCCATAATGGGAGCCACTGTGAACTCAGGCGCCCAGAGTGACTGTGCATCCAGGCCTTGGGTGCATGCCTGAGCCTCGCTCTCCATCCACAGCCTGGGAGTGCAGGAGACGTACCGTTGATGATCCGGGCCACCCGCCACAGCCGGAGCAGAATCAGCAGGCCAAGAGCCTCAAAGTCATGCTCCCGGAACAGGAGGACAATGTCGAGGACGAATGAGACCACCACCACGACAGCATCCAGGATCTCAAACTTATGGTGAAAGAACTCCAGGCGGAAGACATATAATTTAAAGATAATCTCCATCATAAAAAAGCCCAAGATGGCGATGCTCATGTAGTGGAACACCTGAAGGGGACAAGGAACCACAGTCAGGGGAGATTGGGCCTCTGGGAGGTCAAGCTGCCCTTGCATGTCCCTGCTTGGTCACCAGCAAGAGAATTCATCTGTTGGACAAATCCAGATGCCACCAGACGCTGTTCTTGATGCTGGAAACAAAGCTGTGAACAAAGCAGATGAAGCCTCTGCTCTCTGAAGGGCAGTTAGGCAATGTTGGAATTAAAACATCCTCCAGACCCTTTGGACCAAAATTGCATAACTAAGAACTTATCCTATAGCTGAGCTCCCATATACACAGGGACTAAGGATATTTATTGCAGCCTTGTTTGCAGAACAAACATTTTCTTTATTGTTTGTAAGACAACAGAAATGTCCAATAAAAGGCACTCTTGAAATAAATGGTGGCACCTCCATATGGGGCCTGAGGGACACAATTGTTAAAAAGACGAAGCTGGGTGTGGTGGCTCAAGCCTAGAATCCCAGTTACTCAGGAGGTTAGGTGGGGCCTCCTGCCCAGAACCCAGTTTGAGGCCAGCCTGGGCACCACGCAAGACCCCATCCCTAAAATAACTGAATGAATGGAGGCAAATCCATATGTTCCAATTAGGAGCAATTACCAAGGTAGATGAAAAGTGAAAAGCATTCTGAGATCTTGACTTATAAATACTAGTCCTGGCTGGGCACAGTGGCTCATGCCTGTAATCCTAGCACTTTGGGAGGCTGAGGTAGGCAGATCACTTGAAGTCAGGAGTTTGAGACTACCTTGGCCAACATGGTGAAAACTCGTCTCTAATAAAAGAAAAAAAAAAATAGAAAAAGCTGGGTGTGGTGGTGCATTCCTGTAGTCCCAGCTACTTGGGAGGCTGAGGCAGGAGAATTGCTTGAACTCAGAGTAGAGGTTGCAGTGAGCCAAGATCACACCACTGCACTCCAGCCTGGGTAACAAGTCAAACCCTGTCTCAAACAAACATACATACATACATACATACATACATACATATATACACTAAGTCCTCCTCACAGGGAGGGGAGCATCGTACACTGGGGTCTGTTGGTGTTGGCTGTAGGGGGGACAGCGGGGGATGGGGAGGTTGGGGAGGGGTAACATGGGGAGAAATGCCAGATATAGGTGATGGGGTGATGGAGGCAGCAAACCACATTGCCATGTATGTACCTATGCAACAATCCTGCATTATTAACATGTACTGCAGAACCTAAAGTACATTAAAAAAAAAAAAAACCACCAGTCCTCACACTAAGGTAACCATTTCCAGATCTGGGACAGGGAAAGTACAATGTGGGCAAGGACGTCTTGTGCCAGAAAGCAAGGAAGTCTTCAAAGACATCACAGAGTCGTGTCAACAAGACCCAGCAGTCAGCTTGGAGAGGCTCACAGTGACAACATTTGGGACAATCTGAACATTGAAAAGAATGACTACGATTGATTGTAACAGTGAATAAAAAATTCACAGTGTGGCATATACACCCACGCACACACACACACGTGGGAAAACAGGGAAATGCCTTTTTATAGATTACTGACTACTAAATGTAGAAGGAAAGATAGAAAATCACCATTTTGCATCCCCCAGTGTAGTCACTAACTCAGGCAAGGATCACCAACAGATGCCAACTGGGGGAAGAGGAAATTTGCATGCTACCAAAGTAGTACCAGGCAGATGATTTACCAGTGCAACGGGAAAAGTGTCCCCGGCCAGTGGAGCAGGCCAGCATTCACTACCTAAATCAAGTGACCCAACTGAGAGGGACTCCTGGCGTGGTGTGTCTCCTGAAAATGCCACATCCAGAACATCGCCCACCAATGAAGATTGCCTGCTAATCGAGCCCTGGACCTAATAGTGGTGTGCAGGAAATAAACAAGGCAGGGGACCTCAAAATCATCAGACAAATCCAGAACATGGGACATCCTACTGGCTGGGATCTTCCAAGAAGGAAAAAGAAAACGAGGAGGATTTTTTTTTTTTTCTTTTTTGAGACGGAGTCTTGCTCTGTCACCCAGGCTGGAGTGCAGTGGTGCGGTATCATCTCACTGCAACCTCTGCCTCCTGGGTTCAAGTGATTCTTCTGCCTCAGCCTCCTGAGTAGCTGGGACTATAGGTGTAGGCTACCATGCCCAGCTAATTTTTGTATTTTTAGTAAAGATGTAGTTTCACCATCTTAGGGTGGTCTTGAACTCCTGACCTCATGATCCACCCACCTCGACCTCCCAAAGTGCTGGGATTACAGGCATGAGCCACTGCGCCTGGCGAGGATTTTTCTAGGTTAAGAAAGCCCAGGGAGGCCGAGTGCAGAGGTTCATACCTGTAATCCCAACACTTTGTTGGGCCAAGACAAGAGGATCACTTGAGCCTGGGAGTGCAAGACCAGACTGGGCAACACAGGGAAACCCTGTCTCTACAAAAAATTTAAAAATTAGGTGTAGTGGCACCTGCCTGTGGTTCTAGCTACTCAGGAGGCTGAGGCAGGAGGATGGCTTGAACCCATAAGGTCCAGTCTGCAGTGAGCTGTTTGTGCTACTGCACTCCAGCCTGGGTGACAGAGCAAGACTCTGTCTCAAGGAAAAAGAAAATTCCAAGGAGACATAACCAAATAGAATATTAGAATTTTCTATCCTAGTTTGAAAAAAAGTGCCATAGAAGACATTCTTGGGCTGGGCACAGTGGCTTGTGCCTGTA